ATAATAGAAGGTGTAGCCAACTACTACTTCTCTTGTAGGTGTGGTAGATCTAATAATTTTGATAAATTTAATGCATAGTCTCGTGACACAATATCGATAAAATTCCTTTTATATACCAAAATCTTGATCATTCAGTGCATGTACACAGTCAAATGTTCTCATTTATAATCTAAGTAGAGCATGACAGCTTTGTAGGTGTGTGTTCCATGAGGCATTAAATCTGGACTACTCTAGTTTTCATCTTGAGTGATGTACTTTCTCTAATAAGTTATTCTGTGATAACATTATTGAAACGTTGTTCTTTCTTCAGGCTAGTTCTTTTAAGTTATATGTCGAAAATAATAAATTAATTAATTTCTTCCTTAACGCTTTACAAGCTTGTACAGTTTTAATGCATAGACTTTAGTTTACAAATGACGTTCAGCCGGAATAACTCTTTTAATGTACTAATACTAGTGTTACGAAATATACTTACTGGTACACATAATCGAATAACACAACTAAATGTAGCTAATACTGATCCAAATACTTCACCGAATTAAATTGTTTGACTCATTGATAGCGGAATTACATATTTATAACTGTGGCCTCGTTTCTAAACTGGTGTTCTAGAACTTGCTTGATCTTAACGTCACACACCCTCCAGCTAGCAAACAAATTACAACGTTAAAAATGTAATTCATAAGAATCTTTTATCCCATTTTTTCTGTTTATCCTGGCATTCGAAATGCAAAAACACGCACATAAAGCGACCTGCGTAACAAAAGGTTAAATGATTTGATCAATGAAAGGAAAAATGACTAACTTATTGCAAGCAAAATAAAGACGAAACTTAGGTGAGAAGTGACGAAAGGGATAAAAGCTGACGATGAAAGAAGTCAAATGAAAAACTGAGTATATTATTTGTAAAATCAAAATTAATTCTGAATTCCCTAGATAAGAATGAATGGAAAATAAAAGGGTTTGGAACATAAAATACTTTAAAAACACTTTACTATAAATTAAAGCAAGATCACGATTTATAAACAAAGAAAGGACAAAGCTTCTGTTTTCTGGAGCAGTTCTTGGCTGATTCAAAACTAATATGTAATTCCTGTTCATTAGCAGTTCTTGACTCTTTTTATAGATAAAATTCAACTCTAAGAATTGGATTAAACTCAAAACTTTCACAATTCACATAGCTCATTATAACTTGTCCTATCACAAGTAAAATTCCAAGGGTGTGA